GGAGCTGCACCTTTAGGAACCTCAGGAGCTTTCCTTGTAGGTTTCTTGCTAAGATCCACAGTCACCGTGAACTTATTCGGTCCCACCTGTGTTATGACGCTATCCGTAGGAACTGAAAGTTTTATCCGGCCTTGGCTTATGAACCTCTCCGCGACGGTCTGTTTCTTGGTCTTAGGTGGTCTTCCTCTTTTCTTAGGAACTACGGCTTCCCTGGACTCAGCCTTAACCTTTGGTGGTCTACCTCTCCTCTTGGGGACCTTATCTTCCTTAGTCTTCGGTGGTCTACCCCTTCTTTTGGGGGTTACTTCACCATCAACCTTGACCTTTGGTGGTCTACCTCTAGGACGCTTGGGATTTCTAAGGTTTTCGAGCCTCTTCATCTCCGCGTTTACCTGAGGATCGTCCGTTCTCCATCTACCACCCATTGTTGGTGGTAGACCTTCAACTCCTCTACTTAGTAGGCTCTGATACGCTTCCTCAACTAGTAAAGCCTTTGCCTTCTGCCTCTCGGAATATTTCCATGTTGGCATTATTCCTCTTTTACCCTTGTAGTTCAGTGGGAGTCTCCTTGGCCTCTTGGGATCAGTGGACCTATCACCTTCATCAATGAATAGTTTCTCTTCCGCGAAGATGTTCTCTCCCTTGTCCTTAGGTGCGACACGGTAGAACTTGTCCTCGGAGATCTTATTCACTTCGTCCTCAAGGTTTCCCTCATAGTCACTATCGTTGATTATCTCACTAAGCGCCATAAGCTGTTCAACGGTCATATCATTTATGTCAAAGTTGTTCGCCATTTTTCACTCTTTCTCTATATACTATAGGTAAAAAAAATAGCCCTAATTAATGGGCTATTTAATTCATTAATTTATTTAACATTTAATTTAATAATTAATCTGGTAATTAATATTTTATTTAATTTATTATTTTATGTTTTATTTAATTTATTATTTTATATTTTATTTAATTTATAATTTTATGTTTTATTTAATTTATAATTTGTTCTTTAATTTCCAGTTATTATAATATTTACAATTTAACGGTTTCCATCCCAACTCGGGGAAGACCTTACCATATAACCTATTCTCGAGGATGTTAACTATTCTTATAGTCCTAATGTCCTCAGGAGGATCTCTTAGTGTGATGTTGTTCATGCTGGCTATCCTTAGTAGGTAAAACTTATATCTGACTATGTTGCGTCCCCGTTGCAGTCTAAGTCTTTGTATACATCTTACGATGCTTCTAAACTGCTTCCGTATGGTATTCCTATCCGCTGAAGCAACATGGTCTAATAGGTGTCTCTCAAACCAACGGACTCTGTTATGACAAGACTTCTTTTTTAGGTAGTCGTCCTTGTTGTGGTTGTAGCTTACGTAGTATGTAAACCCATTCCTATCACTTGCCCCACAGTGTGTGCATACGTATGCTCCGTCCAACATTACAATGGACTTACTACCACATTCGAAACATTCCTGTTCATGTGTGTGTACAACCTTCATCTTACCTCTTACATACTTCATTACCGCGGCCTCCAGCTCGTCAATATCTTCTGCTTTCCTACCTACCGTTTCCATTTCATCAGGTGTTACTAGTGTCAGCCAGTCCATTCCCTATATTATATGTGTTAAAATTTTTTGCATGTTTTTTACGTCTCCCTGTTATTCTCAATTCTACATATTTTTTAACCAGAGCCTCCAGCTCCTCTATTGTGTCCACCCTTTTACCAAGTGCCACCACCTCGTCGACGTCTACCATTGCGAGCCAGCCATTTCTCTATATTATATGTGTAAAAATTTATTGCCGTATTAAATTAATAAATAAGCTGCCCCTCCAACCACCCCACCCATAATTAGACTGAATATTGCCATATATTCTTCCATCTCTGAGCTAGGTCTGTAGTGGTTACTTAGTTGCGGCTTTCTTGGCATAGCTCTGTGTGTTAGCTCGTTGATTCTCCTGACGAGTTCCAATGCCTTATTTGTTGAATTAATATCCCTATTCGCCTCACCTAGCTCTGCCTTAAGTTGCGCAAGTCTGTTTCTTCTATCGGTGACTTCTTCAAGGTACTTCTCTCTTTCAGCTGTTAGGTTCTCCATCGCAATATTGTGTCTGTGGGCTTCCTCAGCGTATCCATTCTTGTCAAACATTTTAAATAGGTATCCTGCTCCAGCAAATGCGAATGCGTTAAATAGTCCTCCTGCTACTGCTCCCGCCATTGTATAGTTTTACCTAGGTTTTGAATGGATCATCTGGTATATACTTCTTTTCTTTCAGATAAGAGATTAGTAGAGATGAGAGGCTAACTGAGACAGCTAGCTTTACCATTCCTCTTACATTCTCTGGGGTGCCTAATGGTTCTTTTAATAGTTTCTTCGATGCCATTGATATACCAACTGCTCCTGCTGTGAGTAACACTGCATTGTACACTTCCGCGGTCATCTTTGATTCTTTACTCATCTTGCTATAATATATATTATGTTTAACGTATCATTCAAGTGAATCTAACTTGAGCGCATCAGCTTTCCTGGTTACTTCTACAGTTTTAGGGATGTACTTAGGTTCTGGTTTCTTTGTTTCCCTCTGATGCTGATTAAATGCTAGAGCAAGGGATATCAGTGCAATGACCACTCCTACATATGCGATCATGTTATTGCTGGATGACTCCTCAGGTTCTGCAAGTTTCTTTTTCCTCTCCTTTGCTATTTTACTGATTGCGGCTAATCGTTTTCCTGCAGCTACTCTTTTTGGGTCTTTCTTCTTTTCACTTGTTACTACTTGAGTTTGCTCGGGTTTATCTTCCATTCTACTTGTAAGATACCTTAGGTTTAACTGGGTCTCATCTTGTGAGACATCTAGAGTCTACTTGTGAGATAACTTAGATTTGCTTGTAAGGTGTCTCAAATCTACTTGTGAGATAACTTAAATCTACTGGTGAGATAACTGGTGAGATAACTTAAATCTACTGGTGAGATAACTGGTGAGATAACTTAAATTTACTTGTGAGATAACTTAGTACCGACTGCGTCAGTATACGCTGCTAGTACTTATCTGATTTGAACCTTGGCCTGTAAGTCTTCACACCACTAGCGGTAATTTTCACTGCAACTTTTCTTACGGTTTTCTTAAGTGAGAAGTACTCGTTAATTCTAATACAAGTTTTTACCAAGTCGTCGGATATCATTACCATATACCCTATTTCCATAAGCTTACGAAGCCATACTACCTGCTTCTCGCTCGCAACCCCAGTGCCCTTAGGAGACTTGAATTCAATGGCAAATCCTTTGTACTTCCCCATAGGATTCTCTATAATAAGATCCGGCTGACCACCTTTGTATCCCTTCTTCCAAGCGTCACATCTCTTTGACATAGTATCCTGGTACTCACCTAGACCAGGTACTATTACAGCCTCTGGGTAGTTATCTCTAATGTAACTCACAATAGTATGATGAAGGTCCGTTTCGTTTATAAGGATCATTTGGTTATATCTGAGTGACCTTCTATCTGGTAATTCGTACGAGCCCGTCTTGCGGATAGATGGAAGGACTTCCCTAAATACCCAATCCTGGAAGTCCTCTGCTATTGGAAGTCTTGAGCTACATATTAGCTGGTACAAACCAGGTTCAAAAAGTAAGATTGTCTGTGGGTGACACTTCTGTAAGAGGGGCGATTCGCCCCTCTTGCGTAACTCGTATACACTCACCTTATTTTGTTTCCTAACTAATTTCTGGACTGCCTTTTTTGGGTCAGCGTACCCTAGAGATTCTGCCACATCTTTTGCATAAAACAGTACATCCTCACCACTCTCTACAGCTCTCACACTAACATTCAACTTCTGGTTCCTGAATAGTTTTTCCATCTTTCTCTATATTATATATGTAAAAATTTTTATGGCTATTTTTTAAGTCTATTTAAATCTAATTTATGAAGCAGCATTCCCTCTACCCACCCAGCTGCTTACTATAACTATGTACATCCTACAGCAAATAAAATATTACATTTCATGTAGCTTCTTGTATATCTTTACAACTGTTTCAGTTGCGTCAGCTTTAAATGTCTGGAAATCATACTGAAGTGGTTCTATGACCTTATCCTTGAGCGCGTATAAGTCCATCTCTAATGAGTCAAGGGTTTTTTGAATCACATCTAGACTTTCCCTATTCCTATCAGTTTTTTCAATCAACTCAGTAATTATATCTTCAAACTCTGTTCCTTCCCAAGCGTTTTCCCATTCGTATCCTGACATTCTTCTTCTTCTGTATTTAATAAGATATGTTTTGCTTCCTCCGATATCTCCTCAGGCTTCTCCTTCTTATTCCACCTGTGAGCAACGACGTGCTTAGCTGTTGTACAACCACCTGATATTAAACCTATGAATGGAATGTTTGGGGATATCGTCCTAGTTAGATATGATACGTCATCCTTTAGAAGTTTATCACTAAGTAGTTCCTCTGATAGCTTATCTGATGATTCCACTGCACCGAAACTTCCTAATACAGAAGCAAACTTTGAGATAATAAGAGTTGATAAGAAGTCACTTGCACATGACATCCTTTGACTTTCATACTCATGATATAGTCTATCCACAACATCCTTGTTGGACTTTCTTATAAAACTTGCGGACTTCTCTATTACACCGTCCCTGGATAGCTCTATAAGCTTGTCTCTTTTACTTTCAGTTTGCGACTTATCTGCGGTTTTTCTTGCGGTAGACTTAGCTTTCTTTTGCGGCGCCTTTGCGGCCTCTTCTACTTCCCTCACAGCTGCAGATATTTCTTCATCAGATTCAGATCCCATCTTTTATATCCTACGTGATGTTTTGTTTGATAGTGTATGTGTAAGGGTGAATAAGTAGTATATCTAGTGCGGTGAACTTCTCATCTTTTAGTACCTGTGTTATCTCTGTAATTGTTTCCTGAGGAACACCACTTAGGTAATCATCTGTTATGACCTTCATATCCCTGCGACTAGAGTTGTAAAATGTAACTAACCTGGAAATGTTCTCCCTGAATGGTTTTGTAATTGATGATAATTGTTGGGTAATTACAATAACTGATAGGTTGTAATGTCTTGCGGAGAAAGCTAGGCGCACCAGTTCTGAGACTCTCTTCTTTACATCTTGACTTGCTGCACAATCATCCACTATAATGAGCGTTTGAGTTCCACGAAATATGGTGGACACTGCCTTCAGAACTAGATTGATCATTTCTTGTGAACATGGAATTTGTATGACTCCGTGATCACTAATATGAGCCCAATTAATGTAAGTCATATTCCATTCTATTGTTGGACATATAATCACAATATAATCGAAAACTTTATTGTATTCCGTTTCTAACATATTTAGTAAGAACTGAGTTTTACCACTTCCTGTCATTCCTACTATGAGCATGTTGAATGGTGGTTCAAGTTGCATCTCTATGCTTTACCGTTAGTACAAACCACGCAGGGTACCTAGTATTGGATACTTGATAAATCTCTATTAGCAAAGTTAAGGAGGGCATCTGATACAATAAAAATATTGCATTGAACGTCAGCTGTTGTGGCTCTCTTTTTGATTTCCATGAGTACACCTGACTGTGTGTTAACAATTCTCCTTCCTCCACCAGTGGTATCATCCTGTGTTGACCTAAGATCAATTACTAAAGCGAATCCATTGCTGAAGAACTTGCTGATGGACATAAATTCGTCTGCCATGGATTTCTCACACATAGGACAAAAGAATCGTTTTGCCTCTTCGAAGAACCTATTTTTAGGAAGTCCTTGGGAGAAGACTGCATTAGGCACACCTTCAATAGTTAGGTTCACCTTATCAATGTTTGGGTAAATATACTCTTCACTGTCCGTCCTCACCCTATTGGTAAATAGAAGGACAATTGCTGACATGCTCTTTCTGGGTATATTAATGTTTTCATTGACAATGGTAAGATCCTTGTCCCAATTACTCGTGCGCATTAGTGTGACGTGTTTGTAGGATAGTGAGCGACCTGTTGAATACATCCTTGATACTTCACTCGCAAGGGTGTCATTCTCAATGGTCTCATATTCTAACTCAAGATTATCCAGTTTATAATTACCCTTAGCTTCACCTCCTTGGGCAGTCATAATCTCATCTGATTGCGGGAGTGTGAGGATGTACATAGGATTGTTGTTCATGTAAAATGGAGTGTATAGACCATGGTCTGCAATTATTTTATCAATTGGTTTTCTCAACTTAGAACCGTACACACTGTGGATAAGTCCATCTGCTACTTTATTGGCATCGCCAACCTTAGTGCCTGAGTCATCACCTGAGATTAACTTCCTGAGATTCTCACTTGCAAGACACTGTTCGGTCATCTTATTTCTATTACCTAGTGTTAGCCATAAGTCTTTGTATATTTCATATGAGCTCTCTCCCGAACAGTCATAAGCTGTTTCACCAGCTACTTTAATCTGAAGACGTTTAGCTATCAACTTAGACAGGTTATTATTAAAGTGGCTTTTTGTATTGGAATTTTTGAAGTCAAATAATAGTGCAAGTGATCCTGGAACTAAACAGGAGTTAGGCTTTAGTTTAGTTCACCTGGGCTAATAGTTGTAGGATTGAAAGTTACAACGTTTAGGGTCCTAGGTCCTTTTATGGATGTCATGTGGCTCCTCCTAAAGCCAGGCTTTAGTTCTCTTTCTGTGGTATTCATACTTGTATACAATATGTAATGTTTAGCTATATGTGTATAATAAAACTGCTGCTGCACATACAATGATTATCCATATATTATCCGCTGCTAACTCTACTCCATCGGCTATCTTCTGGAATACAGGTGGTAGTTCTATTTGATTGTTTACCAACTCACTGATCCGCTTATCGAGTTTTCCTGTTGTGTCACCTACTTTCCACAATATATTTCTAGTTGATGCTACCAGTCCTATGATTATAGCTGATGAGGAAATTAGAACAGATGATAAGATGCCTGCATTCTCCCTTGCCCATAACCTGAGCCTCTGCAGTCTCCTACGATCATCCCGTTTAATGAGATCCCTCTTTTTCACCTTATCCCTTAAGTTGAGAAGTTTATTTAAGTTTGACTCTCTTTGGTAATCATTTGATAGCATTCTGACGTATCTCAGTTCTTCCGACTTTTCTTTGAAACTGTTTTCATCCAAATCGGATAGTATTAGTTCATTTAACAGTCTGTCTCCCCTATCCATTAGATCATCGTATGACAGATTAGATAGGTCAGGGAATTTCTCATCTAATTGCTCTCTCGATGGGTCTTCACTCGGTACTTCTCTCCTCCTCCTCAGTTCGAGTATGTAATTGATTTCCTCGTTAATATCCTGGGTCTCCTCAGTAGTTTCACTTTCCCTAAGATCCTTGTCAAGGTACGGTAATTCATTATCTAAAGTTTCTGTATCCATTTCTTCATAGTTTGGATACTTTTCCCTCAACTCTTCCATTCTCCAGTCATCGTATTCCTCTTGATGTTCCTCCATAGCTAATTTACTTTGTGTAATAGTTATATACCATTAAGGCTGCAGCTATAGCTAATACCCATAAGTGTGACGCCAACCAGGCAATTCCCTTTGCTCCCCATGATAGCGCTGTTGCAATGGTGTTCAGGATTGGAACTAGAATTGGTCCTGCTTTCTTTGCTAAATTTGATAATGCTTTTGCTACTTTACCAGTGGCCTTTGCTGTCTTAACAATGGCTCCCCTAGCATGGATTAATAATGCTGTAATTAAACTAGCTGTTGACACTGCTATCCCTGCAAGTCCCACTTTTTCCTTTCCTACCCAGTCTATAAATTTACGTAATCTAGAAATATCTTCGTGCCTCTCTTGCTTCCTCTACTACTCTCTGCTCCAGTGTCCTATCCCTAGCTTCCTTTAGACTATCAATTCTTTCTATAAGAGCATTGTACTCAGTTACACCTTCCACAGAGCCGGCTTGTTTCACGGTTTCATTAATAGCTTCGCTAAAGTAGTCGGCTTGTATTTGCAACGCTCCATTGGGACCTGTTCTGCCTTCTATGCTTGATCCATCAGGTGGGTTAAGAACACCTCTTAGTTCATTGTTTTCTTGCATTGTTAACCCAGGAAGATCTCCTAGTTTTGCACTTATGTCTATTAACTCAATATTCTCACGGTCAGCGTATTCCTCATCACTGTCATCAAATTGCGGCTCTTCTCTAGTGTCCTCATCACTTCCAATTATATTGTCAGGATTCGTAGGTACCTCTTTTATTTTCTTTATAAGGTCCTTGTATTCTCTTAATGCAGTGGAGTTCTTGGAGTACACAGGTTTACTGGTCTTACCACGTTTCATTATTTGTGTGCCACTTTTGTCAATACCTTGTTCACTTCTAAATACCAACACCTCTGTGCTATCCTTGAGTGTTCTTACAGATGATCTCTTGATGAGTTCCCTAACATATTTATTCTTAGGGTCTAATATTAGTCCCTCCTTACCTTTAATAACTCTCGCGACAGCTTGAACACGCTCCACTTGGTTTTCGAAATCTCTCTTTTTATTTTCTGTTGAAATCTTATTTAGTTTCTCTAGGCGGGCTTCTATTTCATCCCAGTCAGCGTCAAATGATTCGTTGAATGCATCTAGTACGTCTGGAAGTACATTGTTTGGATCTTCTACGAAATCTACTCCCGGGGTGGTTGTGCTTCCTGATGGACCTGAAATGTTCACAGTTCCATCACTTCCCTCGGTGAAAGTTGTTTCTTCTATTTCACGTCTCTCCATTAGATTCTTCACATAGTCTAGTTCACTTTTAAGATCAGTTAATACTATAGGGTCATCACCATACATAGCCTCTCCCTTCACCTTTGTATCTAACCTACTAAAAGCTGTCGTTAGGTCATCATAATTGAGGTCGTCATATTGAGGATAACTTTTTTCTGTCTCCTCCAACTCAATGTCATCGTAGTCCTCCATAATACTTTAACTTATGTTACGGACTTGATGTCTCCAGCTGGTATCCAACTGTTAAATTTGTCATCATAACCTAACCACTTAATGAGAGCCATCTTTTTACCCTTCACTGTTCTTCTTCTTAATACTTTCTCTATTCTGAAATCAGGTTCTCTTCCTTCAGCGCTATACAATTCTTGTTTATAGAATCTGCCAATTATTGGTTCATCAGCACTGTCTTTTATTGTGTACGTGTTTGGATGGCCGTGATACACTTCTGTCACAGTGAATAACTCCTCTGTGAAGTTAGCTTCGTACCCTTTTGTGAACACTGATTTGTATTTTGAAATTCTAACACTTTCTCCGACAGCAAACTTTGGTTCTGATGGCTTGCCTAGATTGTGACTAAAAAGTGTCTTCCATACTTCAGTCCAATTGGACTCATTTACACTGTCTGGTGTTGTTTTAATTGATCTGTTCACTAAACTGTTGCAATTATCAGTTAAGTCTTGAAGAACGTCTAACCATTTATATGTACTGGCACTGTAGAAGTACTTCCACATTAGAACCTTCAGTGTTCTGTTAAATCTTTCCACAACCGCGGCCTTTTTGTCTGAGTAAGTAGAGAAAAACTCAATGTTATTTTTATTGAGCAAAGATTTTACATCTTTATTGTAGAACTCTGTGCCCTGATCAAACTGGGCGAATTTTGGGTATTTACCAAAACGATTATTAAATTGCTCTAAAATGTTACTGACTGCGTCCTTCATTGATGTCGCGTTTTTCCTATACACTGATACTGTGAATGCATACCTACTTAGTATTTCAATGGATGTGAGAATCCATCGGTATCCCTTGTTCTTATCATCATATTTTGTCATGTCAACTAAATCCATTTGTAACTGTTCACCTAAGGTTTGAACGTACGTCTGTCTGAACTTATGTTTCCTGAACACTTGTCTGTACCTAGTGTATGTGTCCTGCTCGTTTATCCATTTCTTGACCTGGTTTCTGGTTACTTTAAGTCCGTCTGATACTGCTCTAAGATATAGTTTCTCTGGTGTTTGAAATCCAGTCTTAGGATTGTAGTAAATATCTCGTAGTCCCTGTTCTTTCATAATATCATCGTCCATCTTATATTAACCAATGTAAGCTTGCTACTCAAGGTACATCTCAAGTAGCACTTCACCTATATCAATAGGTTTCCCATCTTGATCTGTCATGTAAAATACAAGTTCTGAGAAAGAACCCTTGACTACAGGAATTCTGCTTTCTACATCGATGTAGCTAACAACTGAGCCCAATAACGGTCTGTCAGTTGGAATTGTAACGCTTGTTATTACATCACTATGTCTTCCCCAGATGTTAACATTAAAGCTGTTATTAGCTAGATTGCAGTGTATATTTACACCTCGTAGACCATTATTAAAGTCAACTTTGCTATCACTTGTTAAACTCCTTCCTTTTAGTAAAACCATAGGATTACTAAATCTATTAAAGCCAAGCATTGTTAAAAACCTGGTTTCTATTGTAACGTCTTGCTTTACAGCTTCAACCTGACATCCTGCTGTTTCAGGAAAATATGTTAGTTTAACACCGTGTCTCTCAAGTAATTTTCTCATACTATCAAATGTGTAGTAACCCTTGTTGACAATGACATCGGATTCCCCGTCAGCTGTTTTTACCTTGAGAATAGTTGTTGGTCCTGTTATATTGAAGTATTCCCAGAACACTGAAACTCTCTTTATGAAGACTGAATTATAATTACTCGTTAGAACTGAATTCTGTAATGGCATAATAGTGTGCGACCCCTGAAGTAAAACTGTAAACTTCATCTTAATAACATACGTTAGGTTATTAAGAATGATACCAGGTGGAGGAGACGTTGGGAAGTCGCCTTATAGGTCTTACCAAGATTATGAAAAAAAGTATGGAAAAGAAGATGAAAATGATGTTGATCCTATTGCTGGTAAAAAAGCTGAGAATGCTGAGAGGGCTAGGTTTGTAAAGTACCTAGCTGATATGAAAGGTTTAGGTTTGAAGCTATGACTACAAGTAGTGGTGATATTGGAGTTGTAACATGGTTTGTGGACTTAGATGGCATAACTTCATATGACATTAGGTATGGCGGGACTTTCATGTTTACTATACTATCAGGAAATTTGTGTACAACCCTGAGAGGCTGAAACCATATTTAAGTAGGTTGGGTCCGTAAAGAGTCACATTCCATTGTTGGTAAGTGGGAAAATAAACTGATACTTATAGAGTCACCTATGATAACGGACTTGAGTATGAAAAAGCAAGCTGGCTTAGGAAGAGAGGTAGTGATAGCAATCCAGTTAGGAACGTTGTTGCGTCCCCTATAAACTCAGTCAATGGATTTCTAATTAAGATAAAAATTAGTTATGAAGAAAGGGTTTCAGTAAGTCTGGTAGGTAAGTCTGACTATAGAAGGTTTATTGCTGTTAACAACCTGGTGTTCCGAAGAATATTACGAAACTGGGCTACTATTACTAAATGAGTCAGTGCAGGCGTTCTCGTATTCCGTACTAGGTGCACAAGCATCGACAAGACTCCAATTGTAGGTGAGATGGGAAAGTCATTTTCTACCCAGGTGAAGTTCGGTAATATTGTTCACGATTGTGTTGTACAAGCGGATCCTGTTGTAACTCTATCTAATATGAGAACGGCTATCAGGGACACAAATGTTATACTTAATACAGCCATTACACCTGGAATAGTTCTGGTTCCATCCAGTCTAATCATTCTAAAGAACCCGTTCCTGGATATAATAATATTCTTGTAAATGCTTCTTATAATATGAAGCGTGGAGTTAACACTAAGGTAATATGTTGGGTAAAAGTGATCCTCCAAGAACAGCACAAGACACTACACCGTTCACCACCTTGATACTATTCACGGAACTAAAAAAGTTCCAGGAGGTTCTACAGTCTGAGACTCAAGTTGTTCCTATCACGGGGAATAGTGTGGTTAGTACTAATGAGTCTTCAGGAGTCAGTGCTATTGCTGGAGCTGGAATTGGTGCTATAGTTGTATTCATTCTAATGAAAGTTGTCCTGTAAACATTATGTATTCTATAAAATGGCTCTCTAAGAGGATACAAAAAGGAGTAAATAAAGTTGACCCATCAAGTGGTAGTGTGTTTGATAAGGATGGATTTACCATGAAGGGTGACATTGAGATGGATGGTAATGAGGTGAAAGGTCTGGGTGCACCTACAGACGATACGTCTGCTGTCACAAAAAACTGGGTAGATAATGAGGTAATTAAACAGGCTGCCATTACAATTCAACCAGCAGGGTTTACAATGATTGGGGATATTGACATGGGAGGTAATAAGATAACTAATCTTGATAATCCTACTAATCCAGGTGATGCTGCTAGTAAGAGTTGGGTTGAAGGCAGTCGTGCTAGCTTACCCGGCCTTGTTCTTACAAATGACCTCAATATGTCAGCAAATGAGATAAAGGCTCTAGGTGATCCAACAACTGGAAAGTCTGCCGTTAATAGGGACTGGGTGTATAGTGAACTAAATAAACCTGTCACTGGACTCAATATTGCCGGTGATATTGATATGAAGAACTATGAAATTAAAAATCTCGGGGACCCCTCTGAAGATCAGTCTGCTGCAACAAAAAAGTGGGTTAACACGGCAATAGACTCGGGACCTTTCCTTAAGAAGGCAGGGGGATTTATGACTGGTGGTATCCATATGGAAACACATCAGATTATAGGTTTAGGTGAACCCACATACGAGACATCAGCCGTTTCCAAGTTCTGGGTTAACAATATTGTTGGTGGAGGCTCATTTCGTAGTAATGGTTTCATAATGGCCGGAAACATTGACATGGGAGGAAACGAGGTACTAAAGATTGGTAATCCTACTACCAACAAGTCTGCTATTAATAAAGAGTGGTTTAACACAAACACCGGCAACTTTCTTAAGCTGTCTGGTGGTAATAATCAGTTTGTACGCGGTGAGGTCCTGTTTGATAAAACTCCACATACCAGCGAAGAGGCTTCTACATCAAGTGGTCTTGTAAATAATAAACTCTTGGATAAAAGGCTGGCCTATTACGTTCATCGTAACGGTTTAAATAGAATGACTGGTAATCTTAAAATGGGTGGACATGAGATAGTGAATCTTAAGGACCCAACTACCGATCAGTCTGCTGTTACAAAAAAGTGGGCCACTGATAATAATTTTGTTAATCTTGGAGGTCGTATGTTGGCTGATATATCAATGGCTGGATTCAGACTTTTCGGACTACCTGACCCAAGGATTGATAACGAAGCTGTTCCAAAAAAGTGGGTTGAAGATAAGATGTCTACATTCGGTAGGACCTCCGGTTTTACGATGACAGGTGACATTAATATGGGCGGAAATAAAATTGAAAATATTGCTGATCCTACTACTCCCCAGTCTGTTGTCACAAAAAGCTGGTTTAATTTAAATGAAGGGACTTTCCTACGGTTAGATGGAACAGGACCCCTAAACATTGCCGGCACTGTCAACTTCACAACTTTACCTACGTGCTCACGTAACCCTAATTCTCTCAGTCAGCTTATAGACCTAGCCTATCTACTCTCATTAGTAGATAGACTTATACTGTTAGATGGTACAAATGTAATGACTGGCAACCTACAAATGGGCGGAAATGAAATAGTAAATGTTGGGGCTCCTAGTGCTGATGAATCTGCTGTCAATAAAAAATGGGTAGAAGATAAGATTAGCGGCGGTAGAAGAAAGCGTGAGACCTACAGCGGACTTACACTATCCGATGACCTTGATATGGGAAACAATGAAATTATAAAGTTAGGTGCTCCTACAACTGGTAATTCTGCCGTGTCAAAGAAATGGGTAACGGATCATGTCAGCGGGAGTTCTGTAAGTAGTAGTGGCTTTACTATGAGCGGTAATATTGACATGGCTGGTAATACTATTACGGGGCTAAATAGTGGGGCAACGGGATCTTCTAGTGCTGTTTCCTACGGTTCTATGAGCAGGTGGTGTTCACAGTTTCTTAAGCGTGATGGTGGCACTCTAGCCAGCAATTTAGATGTTAACAATTATGAGTTGATAAAAGTTGGTAACCCTACTACAGACGGTTCAGCTGTTAATAAGAAATGGGCAATAGATGAGTTCATGAGTAGTAGAGGTGGACTGGTAAAGGGTGATTTGGATATGGGAGATTCAAGTGGAATTCTAGATCTAAGGGATCCCGTGAATGATAAGGATGCTGTTAACAAACAGTGGGTAGAAAAGAATTTCCTAAAACCTTCAACTGGCCTTACTCAAGCAACGGCTGACTTAAGATATGTAAGAATACGGCGACATATACATGCAGAATGGATTTGGGGTTACAGGGGAGTATCAACCGCTGCAGCAAGGTACTATGCTTACTGTCACGATCAGATTCCACCTTCATGGAGAACAGATCCTATTGACAATATGACAGACCTCAATCTTGAGTCAATTACTATTAAATCAGACTTCCCAAGCATCTCAATCATTCTAAATATACCACTAGCTCTAATTCTATGGGCTACTGTTTGGGAAAAACAATCTAATGGAAAGTTTACAAAAGTTAGGAAGGAAATCAATCTCACCGCAATCAGCCTAAAAAAATTGTCATACACATGGTTTAATGGAACTTACACAACTACAGGTGGAAGTACAGCTTGCTATGTTTTCAAGGGTAATAGTATGTTCTATTTAGGAAATCAGGTCGAGTTGGTAGATAACACGCTGGCTTGGTGTATTATAGTTAAACCTGAACACTCAATGCCCACTGGATCGAGTATGGATATGTCCTTTTGCTGGTCACTTCGATATTCGGGGTCAGGTATATAACATGTGGTTTATCATACAGTATCATGTCAAAGTGGCGCTCATGCTTCTCCTGGTTAGGTAAGATTTGTGGTTGTCGTAAGAGTTCTAGTAAGAATGGAAAGGCTGGTAATATAAATTTCTCTGTATCAAATAATATTAATGTTGACGTCAACACACAGAATAATAAAGATGATTCAAGTAATGTGTTTGACCCTAAGAGCTTCGGCCCCTTGAGTATAATTAAATATGATAATAAAGATTAAAATAATAGATAAAAAAAATGAGGTAAAAATGGTCTAGAAAAAAATGGTCTAGAAAAATTGAGCCCGCGGTTTTTTTGGGAAAATTTGGGAAACCGCTGACCGGAAGTGGGGTGGGATCGCGGGCTGAAAAAGTGGTCTAGAACCGCTACTTCCTATACTACTCACCAAAAAAGTTTGAAAAAAAATTTCGTGCAGAGACTTTTCAATAGGGAAAATTATAAGTTGAAATAAAAAAAAATTCGAGCAAGGGATTATATTTAAAAAAGTTATAGACACAAGCAAAAATATTCGTACAAGTTGAAAAAGTCGCCCCCCCCCATCACTTTTCTAATGGTCCCTAAGTGAATTAAATAAACCGCATAACCTGCCTGTCAATTGGGCGGGTTTTATTAGTTAACAATAAAAGGGAGAATTTGAAGAATTTCTGCCGCATTTTGGCACGCCTGTTATAAATCCGGAATATAAAGCCTTTGAGAAGCAGATTTGGAGCAAGTCTATAAAAGGCAACAGTATAAGACAAAGAAATACAACATAAACATTAACAAATGCATGAAGCTAAGCATGTGACATAACCTTCGCCATGGTATAGGGCTTTGGTTGAACCAAGTATAGTGATTAGTGTAATGTGTAAATGAGTCCTCTTCTAAATCAGTCCAGCAAGTTAGATAAGGGGTGGACCATTAGATTCGGGGGGGGGGGATGGGTCGAAATCTTGCAGACTCGTACCGGTACTACCGGGAAAGTTCGAAAAAAATAATATCGTACAGGGTCTGTGTGGTTATAAAATACATCTTGCAAGTTTATTGTTTTGCATGTCCACTGAACTGTATACATGCAAGCCCACAATACTACTGAATTCAAGTGCACATCGTTTGATGATAACAGAATATTGAAATAATATAATTTCATATATATATATATATATATATATATATATATATATATATATATATATATATATATATATATATATATATATATATATATATATATATATAGATTGTTGAAAACTTGACGAGGATATCTGCATTATTTATTTGGGTATAAGATGTTGAAGTTTTTTCCTATTTAAACGACCCACAAATAGTAAACAGAAAACACCCGTACCCGTTTGTCTTTTACGTGGAATTCCAGGTGCACACGCATAAATTCATTAGAGATTACGGGTAAAAATGTTGACATCAGCAAAAATTGGTGAACAAAATGGCGATACTCGTACCCGTAGACCGGGGTATCTTAACCTCTCTATTATTACTGTCCGTTTACTCTCCCACGACAGTAGAGGTTGTATACAGTTTGATATTGTCTTCATCATTGCATACTTGTCGAGAAAAAATTAAATACAGGAAAAAAATATTGCAGTGGTCAAGATGAGAAAAGAAAAATACTTCTGCTGCTTGGCAGAAAAAAAGATTTCTTTCTGAGAGCAATTCTTCCAACCCTCTTCAAAAATCTAATAGTCCGCCCCTAAGAGGCTGACTTGTAGAACATTTCTTTAATTAGCCCATTTAATTTAGGTAGCTAGTTATGCTATATGAACAAACTCGCATTGACATTTTCACGGTAGTACAATAAATAAATGATGAGTTGTGTGCGTCCTTGGGTTGCTGTGCGTCTGGTTCTGGTGTAAAGCCTCAGCGTATTGTCATGCTGACTTTTCTGGTGTCAGGCGTGCCTGACTGCAGGCTACAGCTTCAGAAAAAAAACCCCGGGGAAGGTGTGGACACACTCAAAACAACATCACAAACAGATATCTTCACCGGAGTGCACAACACCAGATTTTTTTATATTTTGCCCATTGTTAGTCTATTATTAAGTAAAATTATGCGCTTCCTTTCCAAGAACACGCTATATCAAAGTGAGTATTGCACGCGTGTGTTGTCATAGCAACAAAATGTGTTACTAAAACTAGCATATGAAACAAGAAACATTAAAATAATTTAACATCCAGACATCTGCTTGAATAAAATACAAAAATACGAAATTTAAGAATGTCAAACTGTTGTAGACCCGAATTTGTTGAAAGATGCATCGAGCCACCTTAATTAGCCATACAGCGCAGTTGAACAAAAAGAAATGAAACAATAATATGTAGAAAAATGCATTCTTTTAATTCTAAAACAATTTCACACATGCATGAATTGTTCATAAATACATTTACCCCAACCCAGGCTGCCGTCACGTGATCCTGGACATGGTTTTGGGAACCACAGGCATCATGGAAAGGTATTAGCTAGCGTGACAGTACAAAACAAACTTATCTTTAAAATTATTTTCAGGATTTCGAGAAAGTATGATTCTTTAACTGTGTCGTAGCCCGGCCAAATTTCATCACAAAATGGTTTATCTTATAAGTTTTCAACACATAGTTCAAAATAATTCAAAATTAAAACATTAAAAAAAATATATATATATATAACGATTTTAAATAATTTTAAATAATTTTAACTGTGTTGAAAGTATATCATATAAACCGTTTTGTGATGAAAATGTTCTCAATCTTTGATACTGTGGGAATATGAGATTATAATCTCTGCATTCATTCTCATTCTCCTACAAGTCAACCAGGGACAAGGCTGCACTAGAACATTAATATTACATCGTACTTGCTATAAAAGATACAAACTAACTACATTTTACAATCTAAAAAATCACTCCTCAAAAGGCACTGTACAAAATACGTAAATTTCTTTAAGAATCTCGCTGAGTAAAATCCCCATAGAATATCAATTAAACCTATCTCGGTCAGAATATCAACCGTATTATTCTGAAAATAAAACTCTTTTAGTAAATGGCGATTGTTGTGTTGAAACCCTGAGTAAACTAGGAATCACTGTAGCGGAAACATGCCAGCTATGTCAGCCACCTTGCACAATGTTTGCAAGGGAGGATAGACAGGGAACACATTCAAAAAAGCATTTTCCGATCTTATCGCAACAGTGTTTCCTGTTTCTTCAGAGCTTTAAGCCTCTTTTCCATTTATCGCAATAACCAACTTTCAAGCTCGAGTGCTTTCATCCAATCACAATCCTCGATCACTTATTTGAATTAGATGCAAGCACTCACAGCGGGCGTGTTGGTTTTGTGACGAGTGAAAAAGAGCCTTTATGAAACAATGCTACTTTGAAACTACATCGCTATAGCACTTTTGTCCTTTAATTAATATATCCTTGTTTTGTTCTCATTCTGTACGGCAATTAGAAGGTCGCAGTATATATAACTGGATGTTGCATCAGGTTGTAAAACACCATCGGTATTACACGAGATAACTGACCAGGTTACTTTCATCATTATCCATGTCCATTTGACGTGATCTTCCAGTAGGGACCTCGGGTTCCGGTAACCGTTGTTCAGAATCAGAGAAATGATCAGACGAACTATGACGTGAACCAGGTCGCACCAGTTTTCCCTGAGCATTTATGTACGGTTTACCACTACCTAGGCTGGTACGAGACTGCAAAACAATCATACTGGTTAGTTCAAGACGTCAAAACAATCATACTAGTTAGTTCAGCACGTCAAACGTCATCCAAAACTAATACAGGTTAGTTAAAGACGTCAAATTGTCAAAACATTCATACAGGTTAGTTAAAGACGTCAAAACATTCATACTGGTCAGTTAAAGACATCAAAACATTCATACAGGTTAGTTAAAGAAATCAAAACATTCATACTGGTTAGTTAAAAACGTCAAAACATTCATATTGGTAAGTTAAAGACGTTAAAACATTCATATTGGCAAGTTAAAGACGTCAAAACATTATACTGGTCAGTTAAAGACGTGAAAACATTCATACTGGTTAGTTAAAAACGTCAAAACATTCATACTGCTAAGTTAAAGAAATCAAAACATTCATACTGGCAAGTTAAAGACATCAAAACATTCATACAGGTTTGTTAAAGACGTTAAAACATTCATACTGGTCGGTTAAAGACATTAAAACATTCATACAGGTTTGTTAAAGACGTCAAAACATTCATTCTGGTAAGTTAAAGACGTCAAAACATTCATACTGGTTAGTTAAAGACGTCAAAACATTCATACTGGTCAGTTAAAGACGTGAAAACATTCATACTGGTTAGTTAAAAACGTCAAAACATTCATACTGCTAAGTTAAAGACGTGAAAACATTCATACTGGTTAGCTAAAGACGTCAAAACATTCATACAGGTTTGTTAAAGACGTCAAAACATTCATACTGGTCGGTTAAAGACGTTAAAACATTCATACAGGTTAGTTAAAGACGTAAAAACATTCATACAGGTTTGTCAAAGACGTTAAAACATTCATACTGGTTATTTAAAGAAGTCAAAACATTCATACTGGTTAGCTAAAGACGTCAAAACATTCATACAGGTTTGTTAAAGACGTCAAAACATTCATACTCATGGTTAGTTAAAGACGTCAAAACATTCATACTGGTTAGTTAAAGACGTCAAAACATTCATACAGGTTAGTTAAAGACGTCAAAACATTCATACTGACATCAAAACATTCATACAGGTTAGTTAAAGACGTCAAAACATTCATACTGGTTAGTTAAAAACATCAAAACATTCATACTGGTTAGTTAAAGACGTCAAAACATTCATATAGGTTTGTTAAAGACGTCAAAACATTCATACAGGTTAGTTAAAGACGTCATACTGGTCAGTTAAAGACTGAAAACATTCATACTGGTTAGTTAAAAACGTCAAAACATTCATACTGGTCAGTTAAAGACGTCAAAACATTCATACAGGTTTGTTAAAGACATCAAAACATTCATACTGGTTAGTTAAAAACGTCAAAACATTCATATTGGTAAGTTAAAGACGTTAAAACATTCATATTGGTAAGTTAAAGACGTCAAAACTTTATACTGGTCAGTCAAGGACGTGAAAACATTCATACTGGTTAGTTACAAACGTCAAAACATTCATACTGCTAAGTTAAAGAAATCAAAACATTCATACCGGTAAGTTAAAGACATCAAAACATTCATACAGGTTTGTTAAAGACGTTAAAACATTCATACTGGTCGGTTAAAGACATTAAAACATTCATACAGGTCTGTTAAAGACGTTAAAACATTCATACAGGTTTGTTAAAGACATCAAAACATTCATACTGGTTAGTTAAAAACGTCAAAACATTCATATTGGTAAGTTAAAGACGTTAAAACATTCATATTGGTAAGTTAAAGACGTCAAAACATTATACTGGTCAGTTAAGGACGTGAAAACATTCATACAGGTTAGTTAAAAACGTCAAAACATTCATACTGCTAAGTTAAAGAAATCAAAACATTCATACTGGTAAGTTAAAGACATCAAAACATTCATACAGGTTTGTTAAAGACGTTAAAACATTCATACTGGTCGGTTAAAGACATTAAAACATTCATACAGGTTTGTTAAAGACGTCAAAACATTCATTCTGGTAAGTTAAAGACGTCAAAACATTCATACTGGTCAGTATTAAAAACATCAAAACATTCATATTGGTAAGTTAAAGACGTTAAAACATTCATATTGGTAAGTTAAAGACGTCAAAACATTATACTGGTCAGTTAAGGACGTGAAAACATTCATACTGGTTAGTTAAAAACGTCAAAACATTCATACTGCTAAGTTAAAGAAATCAAAACATTCATACTGGTAAGTTAAAGACATCAAAACATTATTACTGCAATGTTTTTTGTATGAAAACATTCATACTGGTTAGTTAAAAACGTCAAAACATTCATACTGCTAAGTTAAAGACGTGAAAACATTCATACTGGTCAGCTAAAGACGTCAAAACATTCATACAGGTTTGTTAAAGACGTCAAAACATTCATACTGGTCGGTTAAAGACGTTAAAACATTCATACAGGTTAGTTAAAGACGTAAAAACATTCATACAGGTTTGTCAAAGACGTTAAAACATTCATACTGGTTATTTAAAGAAGTCAAAACATTCATACTGGTTAGCTAAAGACGTCAAACATTCATACAGGTTTGTTAAAACGTCAAAACATTCATACTCATGGTTAGTTAAAGACGTCAAAACATTCATACTGGTTAGTTAAAACGTCAAAACATTCATACAGTTAGTTAAAGACGTCAAAACATTCATACTGACATCAAAACATTCATACAGGTTAGTTAAAGACGTCAAAACATTCATACTGGTTAGTTAAAAACATCAAAACATTCATACTGGTTAGTTAAAGACGTCAAAACATTCATATAGGTTTGTTAAAGACGTCAAAACATTCATACAGGTTAGTTAAAGACGTCATACTGGTCAGTTAAAGACATGAAAACATTCATACTGGTTAGTTAAAAACGTCAAAACATTCATACTGGTCAGTTAAAGACGTCAAAACATTCATACAGGTTTGTTAAAGACATCAAAACATTCATACTGGTTAGTTAAAAACGTCAAAACATTCATATTGGTAAGTTAAAGACGTTAAAACATTCATATTGGTAAGTTAAAGACGTCAAAACATTATACTGGTCAGTTAAGGACGTGAAAACATTCATACTGGTTAATTAAAAACGTCAAAACATTCATACTGCTAAGTTAAAGAAATCAAAACATTCATACTGGTAAGTTAAAGACATCAAAACATTCATACAGGTTTGTTAAAGACGTTAAAACATTCATACTGGTCGGTTAAAGACATTAAAACATTCATACAGGTTTGTTAAAGACGTCAAAACATTCATTCTGGTAAGTTAAAGACGTCAAAACATTCATACTGGTTAGTTAAAGACGTCAAAACATTCATACTGGTCAGTTAAAGACGTGAAAACATTCATACTGGTTAGTTAAAAACGTCAAAACATTCATACTGCTAAGTTAAAGACGTGAAAACATTCATACTGGTTAGCTAAAGACGTCAAAACATTCATACAGGTTTGTTAAAGACGTCAAAACATTCATACTGGTCGGTTAAAGACGTTAAAACATTCATACAGGTTAGTTAAAGACGTAAAAACATTCATACAGGTTTGTCAAAGACGTTAAAACATTCATACTGGTTATTTAAAGAAGTCAAAACATTCATACTGGTTAGCTAAAGACGTCAAAACATTCATACAGGTTTGTTAAAGACGTCAAAACATTCATACTCATGGTTAGTTAAAGACGTCAAAACATTCATACTGGTTAGTTAAAGACGTCAAAACATTCATACAGGTTAGTTAAAGACGTCAAAACATTCATACTGACATCAAAACATTCATACAGGTTAGTTAAAGACGTCAAAACATTCATACTGGTTAGTTAAAAACATCAAAACATTCATACTGGTTAGTTAAAGACGTCAAAACATTCATATAGGTTTGTTAAAGACGTCAAAACATTCATACAGGTTAGTTAAAGACGTCATACTGGTCAGTTAAAGACGTGAAAACATTCATACTGGTTAGTTAAAAACGTCAAAACATTCATACTGGTCAGTTAAAGACGTCAAAACATTCATACAGGTTTGTTAAAGACATCAAAACATTCATACTGGTTAGTTAAAAACGTCAAAACATTCATATTGGTAAGTTAAAGACGTTAAAACATTCATATTGGTAAGTTAAAGACGTAAAAACATTCATACAGGTTTGTCAAAGACGTTAAAACATTCATACTGGTTATTTACAAACGTCAAAACATTCATACTGCTAAGTTAAAGAAGTCAAAACATTCATACCGGTAAGTTAAAGACATCAAAACATTCATACAGGTTTGTTAAAGACGTTAAAACATTCATACTGGTCGGTTAAAGACATTAAAACATTCATACAGGTCTGTTAAAGACGTTAAAACATTCATACAGGTTTGTTAAAGACATCAAAACATTCATACTGGTTAGTTAAAAACGTCAAAACATTCATATTGGTAAGTTAAAGACGTTAAAACATTCATATTGGTAAGTTAAAGACGTCAAAACTTTATACTGGTCAGTCAAGGACGTGAAAACATTCATACTGGTTAGTTACAAACGTCAAAACATTCATACTGCTAAGTTAAAGAAATCAAAACATTCATACCGGTAAGTTAAAGACATCAAAACATTCATACAGGTTTGTTAAAGACGTTAAAACATTCATACTGGTCGGTTAAAGACATTAAAACATTCATACAGGTCTGTTAAAGACGTTAAAACATTCATACAGGTTTGTTAAAGACATCAAAACATTCATACTGGTTAGTTAAAAACGTCAAAACATTCATATTGGTAAGTTAAAGACGTTAAAACATTCATATTGGTAAGTTAAAGACGTCAAAACATTATACTGGTCAGTTAAGGACGTGAAAACATGTACTGGTTAGTTAAAAACGTCAAAACATTCATACAGGTTTGTTAAAGACGTCAAAACATTCATACTAGTCGGTTAAAGACGTTAAAACATTCATACAGGTTAGTTAAAGACGTCAAAACATTCATACAGGTTTGTCAAAGACGTCAAAACATTCATACAGGTTTGTCAAAGACGTTAAAACATTCATACTGGTTATTTAAAGAAGTCAAAACATTCATACTGGTTAGCTAAAGACGTCAAAACATTCATACAGGTTTGTTAAAGACGTCAAAACATTCATACTGGTTAGTTAAAGACGTCAAAACATTCATACAGGTTAGTTAAAGACGTCAAAACATTCATACTGACATCAAAACATTCATACAGGTTAGTTAAAGACGTCAAAACATTCATACTGGTTAGTTAAAAACATCAAAACATTCATACTGGTTAGTTAAAGACGTCAAAACATTCATATAGGTTTGTTAAAGACGTCAAAACATTCATACAGGTTAGTTAAAGACGTCATACTGGTCAGTTAAAGACGTGAAAACATTCATACTGGTTAGTTAAAAACGTCAAAACATTCATACTGGTCAGTTAAAGACGTCAAAACATTCATACAGGTGTTAAAGACATCAAAACATTCATACTGGTTAGTTAAAGACATCAAAACATTCATACAGGTTTGTTAAAGACGTTAAAACATTCATACTGGTCGGTTAAAGACGTTAAAACATTCATACAGGTTAGTTAAAGACGTCAAAATATTCATAAAGACATCAAAACATTCATACAGGTTAGTTAAAGACGTCAAAACATTCATACTGGTTAGTTAAAAACATCAAAACATTCATACTGGTTAGTTAAAGACGTCAAAACATTCATATAGGTTTGTTAAAGACGTCAAAACATTCATACAGGTTAGTTAAAGACGCCATACTGGTCAGTTAAAGACGTGAAAACATTCATACTGGTTAGTTAAAAACGTCAAAACATTCATACTGGTAAGTTAAAAAAATCAAAACATTCATACTGGGAAGTTAAAGACATCAAAACATTCATACAGGGAGTTAAAGACATCAAAACATTCATACAGGTTTGTTAAAGACGTTAAAACATTCATACTGGTCAGTTAAAGACGTTAAAACATTCATACTGGTTAGTTAAAGAAGTCATCTGAACACTGCCACGTCACCAGAATGAGAAAACAAGTACCAAAATATGAATATTGTGGATGACCATCATATGCCGTAACGTAGCTTTACCAGAAGCAGTTGGCAAACAAACAACACGCATCCATTGAAAGTAAAACTACAAGAACGCAAGTAACTAGACATACAAATGAATAACAAAGCGATACAACAACATGCATGGTTAACCTTCCAAAAGCGAGTCAAAACATCAAACGAGTTAAATACGTGGACTATGGTGTACATGGATTAGGTGTACAACGTAAAAAGTGAATTTCTTACAGGTGATTTATGTCTTTCCAATGTCGTGTCAACCGAGTCGTGTGGATCATCGGAATAACGGTCGTTCCAAACAGCATCTGAGGGGAAAAAATTACGTTTTTACGCCCAATTTTTCTCCAAAGGATGGATTATATTAAATGTTTATTTCTTTGTTTTGGAGTTTTTCACTCATTTGTAAGCGGATTTCCCAACCTCGTTCCCAGGAAAGAGCCTGGGAACGAGGTTGCGGATTTCCGAGGTACCTACGATTTAACGTCTTTATCCTAGATGCTAAAATCTAACCAGTTACAAATGTCAATGTAAAGGTAGCACTTTGTCCTCAATTATTTTAAGACCTTGAGTAGAGGACCGACCAAGGATTTGGGTCTCCCAGCTTGAAAGGCAAACAAGCGCTAGAATGAGAGCTTGGTGGGGGTGTTTAAATTACCGTAACAGTTGAACCAGGAGATATTTCAAGGGTCAATTATTATATCTTTTATATCCGCATGCAACATTAATACCACTTTCAGTAAACGAATCACAGACGCATGATCTCAACTACATCCTTCAATTTCCTGCCGTGCTGGGAAACGTCAGCGGCAGCGCCAGTAGCACCGCTACCGGGAAATCTTCAGCAAAATATCTTTGCAGGAAATTTTCTTATGCAATCTTATAGATAGGCTCAGATTCCAGCCGTTTGGTTCTCGGCACTCGAAACAAACGGCTGGAATCTGAGCCTTATAGATCGCTGATATTGGAATCCCAATCATATAATTTTCTTGTTGTTTTGAAATTCAAAATCCCTTTTGTAAATCGGAATTGTCAATTAGTCGTCAAAATCGCAATTTGCCACCATGCGGGACAGCGCGCACTTTCTCAGAAACCTATTGATCTATAAATTGTACGCTTCAGGAATTCTCGTATTTCAGGAATTCTCGTATACAGCAGAAATGCAAGGAGAAAGCCTGGCATATTCCCAGCGACTACATTTACAACAATCAATTCAAGTATTGAACAATACCTGGTATAGAACGTGAATTAAAAACTGGCATGGGAGGGGGTAGAGGGTCGTCAAATTGAGCAGCAGAGGGGTCATCAAGATCTAAATGATCGTCAGGGTAGGGAGGAAGTGGAGTGTCGGTTGTTGAACGTGGTCGATATGGGGGAGGAGCTCCACCTAAATAAAATATACAAAAATATGGAATTAAGAAATGTTTTACAGTGAAAATACAAGAACCGTCCCAATTCTGCTTTTGTAGCCTGTTGTAATTTTCTGTAAATTGTTTTTCTATAGCGGTTACGGAATTATCAGCAAATACGGCGACAATATTATTTTTCTTTGTTTTTATAATTTGCAGAGAAGGATGCATAAATATATATCGTTTTCCACAACTATGTCTTTATAAATGTGTATTGCAGACCACCATTTATATGCACATGTTCTCGTTCGTGTGCGCGGGGGGTCTAAAACCTAGTGATGACTGTATCTCCCGGCCCGTACATAAATACTTTGTCCTAACTTCATTAAATATATTATTCATCGTGGTTGCATGTTTCACCTCAGCCTATTGGACAACAATGAGCTCAATCATAGTGACCATGCATAGATTAACATAAACTCAGGCAAAAACATAACACAATGACTTTTGTTTAGTTTGCAGACGATCATATCTTGATAGAATATGCTTTATTTAATATTTCAAATCCGACTATGAGGACTGGACTAGATTTCAAGTCCGCAGGGTCAAAATGCGAGGACCTGAAATCTAGTCCAGTCCGAATTGGAGAATTCCAAGTGACATCTCATATGAATAAATCACTACTTAAAGTGAGGTGAATTTGGGCCGAAAGTGGTTTCCCGTGCGTAATACAAATTAATACGACATTTGCAAATTTCGCAGGGCTATATTTTCCGCATTTTACAACCTTTCGCAACCAAACTTTGCAATTTTACTAATTTCGACATACTCTTTCTAGCTGTGGTGATGGATTTTGTTCTTCTTGCCCAGATCAAAATTTAGTGTATAGCTGGAATTTCCCATTGTTTTCCGCGTTTTTAGTTGTTTCCGTGTGCCACGATTGCAGTGTTTTCCTCAGTATAGAATTTCCCTTGTCAATAATTTCCCCTTTGTTAAAGTCAATTCTATATCCGTTTTTCCATACATGTGATGCCATGTTAGAGCAGTTACTGTATAAACTCAACATACGGTATACTTACGTCCATTAGACATCGGACGGTTATTGTTATTTCTTTTATTGACTTTAGCATAAGTATCATTTTGGTTAGGGCGAACTGGCTCACGTGGTCCATCAATATTGTCACGTGATATTTTCCCATTGTCTCCAACTCTTGCATAACCTGGTTCCGAGGACAGTTCATCATCTGAGGGTTGTTGTTTGCGATTTTTATATCTGTACGAGTCATCATCACTACTTGACCTTTCATCCTCGTTATATTTTGATTTCTGAGCAACATTAAAGGGTTGGTAAGCTTGGCTACTCTCTGCTGGGCTCACACGCTTGGCTGTGTTGTTGTCATCGCCGTTGAATGTGTTCATATCTTCCGAGTCAGGTAGATAATAACTATCTGAAGTATTAAATACATTCTAAATTAGTCGAAAAATTGAGCAACGTGATGTATTAGTAGAAGTTCATTTTACTCATGGTTTAATTTGTTGCTTAAACTTGTCAAAATATCATTATGGGTAGAAAGTATATCGATTATCGCACTGAATAAAGGCAAAGCACCCCAGCAGAATGACGTGGCAGGAATTCTAAGTATATTCCCCACCTAGGAATTTCCAAAGAACCTCGCCCCCCACACTACTTATGTTCACAGTAATTAATGTTGTTGTATATAACAAATAAAATACGACATAATTGAAATCAATGACGACAGTATGTCTCACACGCAGGCTACATTCATTAATAAGATTTTTAAAGTTTTTTTTGCTTCTTTACATAAAATGCAAAGTTTTTTGCTTCTTTGCTATGATGCATGTCGCCAATATCATAGTTCTACTAATTTTCGGATGATGTCCGTGTTGACAAAAGCGTTGCTTGTTAGAAGCTCGCTATTGTCAATCCAAAGTCGATGCTCAAAGTACTTGTACTATTATCGTACCCTTGCCCTGAGCTATCGCCTGGAATGGCGCCTCGGGGAAAATTCGGGAAGTAAATGATGTAAGAATTTTTACCTCTCGTCTTTTTCTTCCTCTCCTGTGTTCCATAATGCGCAGACTCGAAAGGATCATCTTCAACAGAACCAATCAAACTACGTCGGGTAACCACGTCTGCACTTTGTGGCTGTCTGCAGCAAAAGAAAACATAATTAACAATTATTCACCGAAGTGGAGTGAATATAGTGCAAGGATATATTCACCAAAACGCGAAGTGTTGAGCACATACCACAACAAAACAAGAAAAATCAACGAAAATATTTCTAAAACCATTTGTATTTCAGCTCCCATAATATTTGTAAACAAAGCAGTATTTACACGCTTTCGGCAATTTTATCATTTTTTATTCATTAGAAACAAATCTTTGTGGCTTTCTTCGTGTTTGGCGAAACCATAGCTTCGTTTAGTACAAACATTTGCTCGCCTGCAACCGGAACGAAACGGGAAGACATTTTGTTTTTATCCCGAAGTGAATAGTGCATGGATATCTGGAGATGAACAACCAATCAAATTGCGTGAAAAGAAATATCTTCCTCCAGACTATACGCTTCAATAATAAATTATTTACAATTTACAATTTACACTTAGGAAATGTAAATGATGATATCGAATTGCTGATAATTTACCTGCGCATAACAACAACTGTTTCATCTGAAAAACATAAAATATAGTGATAAGACAAGAGTTTCAGTAAGAGTTTCAATACGTCGCCAAAAACTAAAATTTCCAAATAACTTTTATTCATGAGCTTTCTAGAATTCAACGGACTTTTCAAGTTCTACACTGTACAGGGTTGATAAGAAGTTTGCTTTCCCACGGTCGGTGAAACTCAGCTAAACAGTTGGCTTAATAGATCTATTGACACACCACATTTTGCAAAAAAATCATGGTGAATGAACGAAGGTGCGATGTTGTTCACATGAGCTTGATCGTGTACTTGTGCACGTGCACTGTGAGTGCATGTGCACGTGCACTGTGAGATATTGCAAGTTTCCTGATTTTGCCGGAAAAATTACCTCGTTTAGGTTTTTGTCGTCTTCGAATGAGACACAAAAATAAAACAAGAATAACAATTAGAATAAATCCACCAACACCAGCAATGATAGCGATAATCTCTTCTTTACTTAAAGTACTGCTGGATCTTGCACTATCCACTGGCGGTTTCCATGATCCAACTGGAATAAAAATAACAAACGTTCATCACGTGATTAAAAGAGTTCTTCTTGTCATTTTCCCTGGCGTTCACCGGTATAGTTTTGCAGGAAAATGGAAGGAAGCCTACGTGGTCAGCCATTTTTTGTCCGTCATGCAGGCAAACGTTTTGGAAATGCTTTTAGTATAAAATACCAATGGTGTACAATCTATGCCAGAGATTTTCGCCATGGAAGCAACAGGGCCGCCGAGAGGTTGGCGGGGGCCCGGGGCAAATTTATTTTTGGGGGCCCCCTATCAAAAAAATTGTTTTCGGAGATCAACCCCCCCCGTCGCCAAAAACTTTTCGGTCAGTGTACCATTTTAGGGGTAAAAAATTTTTTCCGGAGTAAAAAATTTTTCAGGACGAGTACGTTGCTATTGCTTTTCATGGACTTTACCTCATTTTTTTATGCCAAATTTCGGTACTTAGCCCAAGAAAACAGATATCTTGTCCTTTGCGCGGAAATATTTAACACACAAAAAAGACTGGGGCTCAACAAAAATTTTTCAGGGGCCCCCAGCACCTCGGGGCCATTTGCCCCCCTGCTCCTCCGTCTCGGCGGCCCTGCGAGGCAATGACGTAAGACGAGAAAATCCGTCTATGGTGTTGGGACCAAGTGTAAAGAGTTCGACAATATTCAAGAAGTTGGTTGAAGAATCTAACTGCCTCTTAACGTACTTTGAGGTCGTACAAGCTTTAACCTATACACAGTAGTTTCCGTACCTTCACCTCCGTCAGTAATTTGTATTTTCCCCTCAGCATACCACAGAACTTGGAACAGATAATGTTTCTCTGGGTCCAACTCTTCAATAACCAACGGTACTTGAACATCAGGGTCTGTAGTTCTTGTGTCCCAGGAACTTCTCTCTTTGTTTTCACGAAATCTTACTTGTTTGGTTAAGTTTTCTTTTGTGTAGATCACAAACGATACTTTAACAATTTTGCCATCATCAAGTCTTTCAATCGAGGCTGTAGAAATAAAGTTAAATATATTAGTAGAAGGAAGTAGAGGTGTTCAACCTTCCTCCAGGGAAAATGTGAGGTTTTTAAACCTAAAATAATATGGATTATGGCTTTTCAAATTGCAAAATATGTAAATTATCTCATTCAAAATCGACTTCTTATTCCCATTTTCCACCGACTATACTATTTAGCATTGATCATCTGGTTGATCACATACATGCACATAAACAGTACAGGCTGACGATTGCTAAAGAAATGTATATGTTACATTGATCAACTCGTTGATTACATACATGCACATAAACAGTACAGGCTGACGATTGCTATAGTAAATGTATATGTTGCATTGATCAACTGGTTGATCAGATACATGCACATAAACAGTACAGGCTGACGATTGCTATAGAAAATGTATATGTTACATTGATCAACTCGTTGATTACATGCATGCACATAAACAGTACAGGCTGACGATTGCTATAGTAAATGTATATGTTGCATTGATCAACTGGTTGATCAGATACATGCACATAAACAGTACAGGCTGACGATTGCTATAGAAAATGTATATGTTGCATTGATCAACTCGTTGATCAGATACATGCACATAAACAGTACAGGCTGACGATTGCTATAGAAAATGTATATGTTACACTGATCAACTGGTTGATCACATACATGCACATAAACAGTACAGGCTGACGATTGCTAGTAAATGTATATCTTATAACGATTGCTACATAAACGTCGTCACCAGAAAGTTCCACATTAAACCTTCCTCACTGACCTCACATATGGCAAACGTACCTCATGGGTGGTACCCGCCATACCTTGAGCTTTTTTGCAACTCTGCTACTGGTACAATAAAGGAAAGAGATTGTCTTAGAATAAACAATCCTTTAAAAATTAAGAACCAACGTACCTGATCCGTAAAACGCTGCAAGTGAAAAAGAAAGCAAACTTTAGCAAGTACATAAATTATACCAAACTTAGTGATATTTAAAACAACACAGACGCCATAAAAGTGGGCGGTTTTTTTTAGCTGGCTTTGCAAAGGGCCTTGGAGCGCAGGTTATACGTTGATCCTAACGACAAGGAATAGCGCGTGCAAAACATAACCAATTCAACATTGCTAAACAAAATAGATTTAAGGGCTGGTGACAAACTCAGAGGCTATCACTACCGCTACAAACATATGGCAAAATATCCTCTTTCCTATCCTAAAACGTAGTTTTAACTGCATATAGACTGTCGATTAAACTGTCCTATACATCAGCAGAAAATCAAGACTCGTATATCACTGGAATTTTTTTCAAAAGCCTTACTATGGAAACAGTACGGAAATACTATGAGACATTATGGATTTGGAGATGCAATTGAAAATTTCATACTATGGAATTCACAAGTTTTTAAAGTGATATCGAAACCTTTGCCAAAAAATAAACAACATATCACCATCCAAACCTACAAGGAACTTACCCTTAGTTCTCCGTCCTGTACAGTTTCGTTTACATTTTGATACTCGGCAGATTTCTATCAACACATAAAAACCCTCTCTGCTCCGCATAAACAAGGCGATTTGGCGAGAAATACAGGCGCTAGAAAATTCAAACTGAGGGGGTTTTCTCCAGTGAACTCTATAAGGTTTTCTCAGTTGGCTCATTACCTTCTAGAGCGCCTCTATCTATCGCTTCCCCTAATCTCCTTGTTGGCTTGTTTATATCTTGTATCTCAAAGCTTTTTCTTCTTCCCGAGAAAGCTCTGTGGAGAAGCGAGCATAAAACCTACCTTTCGTTCTCCGTTGTATATGATTACTGCTATTGCTTGGTCCATCACTATTTTGAGCTTGAACGTAAAATATGTAATCTTTATTTGCCTCCAGATCTTGACTGATTGTATAACAATGACATTCATCATCTACGCGAGGGACAACCTGTGCTTGGTCAGCACGGAGTCCATAATAAACATTATACCACACTTTTTGTCCCCCGTTGTACCCAGGTGTCCATTTGAGATAAACATGAACTGTGGAAAGTTGATCTTGGACATTCTTGATGTAGGTATGGATACTGTCCAAGCGTGGGGCTTCGGGTGGACCTAGAATTTAGTATTTGTAAAATGAGACGTGTACGTGTTATCGTGTAAAATTGGATAACTACTTTGTGATAAGTAATTTGCTTACTTTCATTACACAAGCTGTAGAAACGCATGCAGGACAGTCCCAGAATCCTACACAAAGAAGGAACCCCTCAGACTGCTAGCAGAATGTCATTCCAGCCTCGTGTGGTAAACAGGAAATTTCCGGTTCTTTGTCGGCATGCACGATTGACAAACGTTAAACCAATCACAGCACAGGAAAAATTCAATTTCCCCAGAGCCAATGCCATCCTAGCCCGCGCACAGGCATTGCTCTGAGTACGAGATTGAGTTACACTCGAATGGTGTTAAATTCCATTTAACACCTAATAGTGTAATTATACACTATTTTAGTGTTGGTACAACACTGCGAGATTTACAGTGCAGCATTTACACGCATTTCTGGTCTTGATATATATTGCTTACACTAAAACACTAAATGCAGATAATATGTTAGGCCTTACCTTTAGGACGAATTTCATAAATCTGAGTATCAGTTCCTCGATCATTGTAAGTATAACATTCATATTTCGCACCAAATCTCGCTCTCACTTGCATGGTTAATGTCCTTTCATCGTCCTGCTTTATACTCAGTACATCTGTTAAAGTGTCATTCAGTTCTTGCATGGAAGGATAAGAACGCCACTTGAATATAGCCACAGGTAGAGCGTCGGCGATACACACTAATGTCACTAGATCTCCAGAGTCAGCTCCTAATAATGTAGCTGCGGCTGAAGTTGTTTGGATCACTGGACGAACTGGAAAAGATGTTTCTTTATTTAAAACTTTATTTCATGACGCTAGCCCCACTGATCTGTACTAAGACTGGATAACGCATCTATAGTATACAAAAGTGAAGCCGGAAGTCACCGGCCGCCACCCGATTCAAGGGTCCCACTTTTGCATAGATTTGTATTACAGATGGTAGTTTTTCGCGCTTTTTGCCTTGGCTACGTTTCCGACCGGGCTAATTTTACAATCACAAAGACAGAAGCATACAAGAAGAATTTTGAGCAAAAAATTTGGAGTATTATGGCGTTATAACGTCGCGAAACGGGATTTACAACTCTGAAGGAGTGGAGAGCCTCAGATTTTGTTTATCAACACGAGCTCGTTTTGCTACTTTCATACAAAATCAACTCAAAATATACAAGAATTACTGTTACTGCATGGACGAATATATTCTCAGGAAATTTGAAGAAATGAAGAAGCTACATTGTAAACGAAAGCGTACTGAGGTTAGTTTTAAAATACCTTGAGGCTACTTTTATAATTATATGAATTAAAATAACATTATATCGACTCATTGTTAATTTGGATTAAAAAATATTTGATTGTCACTTGTCTTCCTACTTTAAAACATATAAAACTTCTCGACAAGTCGAGGGAATGTTCTTGACAAAGTTGACATTTAAAACTGTTCCTTAATTTTCATATAATTATAAAAGTAGCCTCAAGGTATTTTAAAACTAACCTAAGTACGCTTTCGTTTACAATGTAGCTGCTTCATTTCTTCAAATTTCCTGAGAATATTCGTCCAGTAACAGTAATTCTTGTATATTTTGAGTTGATTTTGTATGAAAGTAGCAAAACGAGCTCGTGTTGATAAACAAAGTCTGAGGCTCTCCACTCCTTCAGAGTTGTAAATCCAGTTTCGCGGCGTTATAAAGCCATAATACTCCAAATTTTTTGCTCAAATTCTTCTTGTATGCTTCTATCTTTGTGATTGTAAAATTAGCCCGGTTGGAAACGTAGCCAAGGCAAAAAACTCGAAAAACTACCATCTGTAATACAAATCTATACAAAAGTGGGACCCTTGAATCGGGTGGCGGCCAGTGACTTCCGGCTTCACTTTTGTATACTATAGATGCGTTATCCAGTCTTAGTACAGATCAGTGCGCTAGCCCTATCAGCAAAAGCTGGTTTCAATGGGGAGTGTCCAGACTGTTATCAGGGTTTCAAATAGAAGCCGACAACCGATTTTCGCCGTCTATAGCCTAGACAAAATATTTCCTCCTAAACTTCCGAAAGGTGCCTTGCTTTTCTAACATAGACGACTTTTAGACGTCATTAGATCTCCCGCTCAGGCAAGTGGTACATTTGCCATCACATAGCCGCCTGCGTCTTTCAAAATGCCGCCTACTCCAAATTCAAACCACAACCCTAACCTTTATCGTGAACCCTGCAGGTACAGATATAAATATAATCATCGACAATAACAAATAAGTAATTATTAAAATAAATACAAGATCGCAGTGTGACGCAGCTCATCGAGGAATGGACGCTTCATTGTAGAGGTGTGCATCGGATCGGATTGGACGTTTATAATCCGACAATTGGCTAATGTTTAAAATCCGATCCGAAATTGTCTAATCCGAATCCGATCCGAGTTTTGACAAAGAATTCCAATCCGATCCGATGGATTCTTTAATAAAATAAATTTCTCATTCAAGTTGAAATATTTAACCAAATGAATATAAAAGCAAGAAATACATGTCAAGAAGCTGACAAAGTGACGTCCAATTGAAGTATCAAACGAATAATGCAGCGACAACCGCGATAATGATAATGCTTTGATAAATGCATGGATAATTAAGCCTTGCGATAATGCGTGGATAATTAATTCATTTTATTTCGGATATCGAAGTCCGATCCGATCTGATCCGACTACGAAACAACTTTATCAATCCGATCCGATATGAATATTTTGGTTCCGAAATCCAAACGAATCGGATCGGATTTGCACACCTCTAGTTCATTGACTTACACACCATTTTTAAAGGTGTAAATCGATGGAGTCGAACATCAGGTGGAAGTGCATTCCATAACTTAGCCCCGCTGTATTTGAACTTTTTTTGAGATAAACTTACATTAGTTCTAAGATCATATGACTGTTTCCACATCACTTCTCGAAATAATAACAGTTGACTTGTTTCAAAAATTGGGAGTGGTAAGGTTAGTACAGATTTTATAAAGAAAGATAGATTTGTGCTGGTCACGTCTCACATTAAAGAGGTTTCCAAGAGAGACAATCAAGGACCTCAACAGATCTGATTTCATAATTGGCTCCAGCTATTATTTTTGCTGCATTATCAGGAACAAAAGGCTTCGGATTCCTATTTGAAGGGTCTTGTAGATGGAAATTATCGAGTAGAAATTTATATAAGTTTATTAGCCCTAATCAGGGACAGCTGGAATCCAAAGCACAAGCGGCCTTGCGATACTGGTGCAACGCTCTAAACAACTAATTTATCTGATGATTGTAACTAAATAATATTTAATTACATCTAGGTGCATGTGTGCATCTAAGTATCTGCCTTTTGATGTTATTTGTGTGCCTTTGTATTATATTAGTTTCCATGTTATACGACTGCTCACTATTCTACCTCTATATATATTTGGTAACTTATTCATAAATACTTGACATGAGGTATAGTCTAGCAATTAATAAATCTCGGCTTCTATAGTTGGACTACCTCTTTCTAATATTACTTTTGTAATAATTGTTGTTTTATTTCGTAATAATTTGTGGCAAATTAATCAATTCAAACTGCAGCTACATAGGCCAGTTGTCGAGCTCTAACCACAAGTTCATGCATATAGCTACTAGGGTACTGCTATGTATAAGTTATGGGTAAATACCAAGATTTTGTTGGCATCTCCCTCGATTGAATATTAGTTGAAGGGTATAATATCAATAATTTCCATCTACAGACTACAATACCCTTCAACAATTATTCAATCGAGTGAGATGCCAACAAAATCTTAAATTCGGATTCCTATCCCTTCCCCAACTTTTTAACAAATAGAATATCATTTCGATATAATTATCCCAACATAAAATCAAGACAAGATTCGTGAGGTTTGTAGATCAAATGTGGGCTTCAGTATTCTTTAATACGCTTCCGGCCATGGTTTGTGATTGAACCACTAGGCTCTCAAACATGGGGGTCCACTGAAAGTAGTATTCAGCAATAAGCGGTCGTGATTTGTGTTTGGACTATCTGAAAACGATATCTTAAAACGTAGCGTCCATTGTATGGAGTATTCTACAACAATAAAGTTGTCGCAGTTTGTGTTAGAATTCCTGTTAAAAAATTCGAAAAACAATTCATCTGGAAATTGTCTATTAGGTAGTAAACGAAGCAATACGCTGCTGAACATAAAAGGGGAAGCCGGGGATGCAAAACATGAGTATAGTGCATGGCCTAAAACCTTAAGATAGTAAATCCGTCTATTATATTGTCATTAGTAAAGCCCTCTTTATACATGACATATTATAAGCTCGTCTACAATTAGATGTACATGCAGTACTTACAATATATAGTGACGATACTCGATGCAGAAACATTTGGCGGTATTCCATTTTCAGCGGTACAAACATACATGCCTCTGTCTGTATACTTCACGTCAGATATGCTGAGATGGTCTCCTGTATAACGAAGTATGGTACCATCTCTGGTCCAATGTATGGTAGGCTCAGGTACACCAGTCGCGTTACAAAACAATTGAAGTCTGTCGGATTCGTTCAGCGAAACCCTTTGTTGAGGAGGTACAACTATTCTTGGAGGAACTAAAAGCAATTAATTTAGCTTAAAAATGGGAAAAGATGAAAAGGGAATATGGATGGAAATTATAGATTGCATGCGATTCTCCATTTAACGTAGGAGGTCTAGTCCTGGACTAGAGATAAATTAAATCGTTTCAAGAAATCAACACGCGCTAACAGTACAAGTTGCGCTTCTCTCGTATTCTCCCAACACCCCCTTTGTGCATTATCCCACCATAAACACACGCGACTCGTTTTCTATTTCTTAATTACGTGAAGCAACCTTACCTCTCACCAAAACATTAACAGACACTTTTTCTCCTTCACCGACGTAACTTCCGCCAGCACAAGATAAACGTCCTCCTTCGCGGGGTTGAATATTATCAAACCTTAGTAATCCCGTAGTTTTATTTTGTATAACAGTGCCATTTTCCCACCTCCAAACATAATACGCTGTTGGAGGATTGCCTTCAGCTCGACAAGGAAGATCCACGTCTGCACCAACACGAACTTCGCGTTCTTTAAAGTCATTTTTATTCTTCACTTCAGGAAGGTCTGGAAAATGAAACAAAAACAGTCAATTGTTTATACAGAAACTCATGAGCAATTATTCATGAGCAAAACACAAATGAGATCTGTAACGTATCCTTGTATTAAACATCGTTAAATAAACTCAACTTTTGCAACAAATTAAGAAGCAATATCACTCGCGGAGTTTATTATACTACTGTAACCTCGCCTTTGAATAAAAAATTGACGAGTTTGGTTGATGGTCAGCTGAATTTCTGACGGCCACACGTTGAGATGTCCCATCAAGCGGCTGTCTGAATTAACTAAAATATTGATGTGCAAACTCCGGTTTTTCAGCTCCGGCTCCAAGAAATGCTTGATACAACATATATGACTTCAGATTAATATGAAATTTCAACAAATTCAGTACTCTGCCTTACGAAATTAAATAATTCATTACGGCCTGCGGAGGAGGTAGGTAACCATCGCTAATTCTTCGAAATTGTCACATTTCTTGTCATTCCGACTATAGAACACCGCAACTCTGGCTGCGGCTGACCAAACAACGACGGAACTCTGGGAAAACTCGAGCTCAGTCCTCTGGCGCACAGCACTAAAATATTTCGACGTTTCGAGCGAAGGTCGTTCATATGGAAATTAGTACGCTTCTCCGCTGGAAACGTCGAGGTTTTTATATTTTTCCAAGTAGATTAACCAGCACTTGTAATGCATGGTCACCACGCTTTCTTTTCAACCTGGAAGACCCGGATTCAATCCGAATACCTCTATACTCAAGGTCTTAAAATAATTGAGGAGAACAAACTACCTAAACAATGACATCAGGAAATGGACTTCTCGAATAAGGACGTTAAAATCGGATCCTCTATCAACTAGGCAATAACCTGTTTGGAAATCCGCTCACTAATATTGAGAGACTCAATAAACAAATTTGCATCCTTCAAAAAACTTTCTCAATATGGACTAAATTATGAATATAAACTACTCGTTGTTTTCGCGACTATTTACAGTAACCTTCGTATGGATAGTCCTATATTACCACTATCGGTACAGTACTTACACATCAAATTTAGTCTAACAGATTTGACTAGCCTTCCATGAGGATTTATTGCTTGACAACCGTAGTTCCCATTATCCTCCCTTCTTGCAGGAGCCAATATCAGTGTAGACTTAGATATAAACAACGTGCTGCCTATAGCTCGACCAGTGATATAATATGGAGGCATTTTCCTCAAAGGTGAACCATCTTTAAGCCAGACTATTTCAGGTGCAGGTTTTCCTGAAGCTTCACATTTCACAGAAATATTTCGTCCTTCAATTGCATCTAATTTCGTTGGAAAAGCAATAACTTGGGGTGGAACTGTAATAAAGAACAATGTGTACCATGATTTTACAAAGCGTCGAATCGAAAAGTCATTGTATACCGTAACATAATTTTTATAGCTTTCAGTTGTTTTAAGAAAATGGTGCGAAACTATTTCTCAACACTACATACATGCATTGTATGTTAACGATGCAGCCCATACAGTGCTCCAAAAATATGCAGTGGTTATAATAAAAAATGTGCCCGTTCTTGTATTTTGACTTACATTTAGTTGCACGATGTGACCCACTTCCTGAATGGCTTTACAAACCAACCGCGTAATTCCAAATGGTACATTAGTGTTAAATATTTTACCTTTTACATCGATTAGCAGGACAACTGTTGGTCCATTGCCAAGTCTATTGGATGGAGTACAACTGACTTTACCGCCATCATGACTGAGATCTATTTTGACAGTTGGTTTTGCAGGGTCACTGCCAATCACTGGTGATATACCTTCACCAAAAAAGCTGAATTTAGCTACTGGATCAGCATCTGCAGTACATTCTAGAACCACAGTCGCACCATCTAGAAGAACTTGGCCTTTGGTTACATTAAACTTCGTATTCACAGGTTTATCTTTGAAGCAAAATATATAAAAACATCGGTAATACTATCATCACATTGCATGATATGCTTATCAATACATATTACAATATTAGAACTTTTCCCTGAATAATAATCTTTGACTATAACCTATTAGAACAGTATGCATACAGTGATGTAAGTAACCTAGGCCTAGCGCTTGCCCGTTTGCCTTGGGCAAATAAAGATCATTGCGGGTAAGTAGACATTTCTTCTTGGTTGCCCGGTCGGGCAAGTTGTTTTAATGTTTTGTCAGAAATTAGTTGCGATACGAAACTGTCTGCTTGTTTATGATATATAGCATTCTGTTTTTGATTCTTTATTGGTAAATCAGCTGAAATCAACACTACATGTTAAGTCTTCAAACGAGTCAGTTCGTTCAAATGAGTTTGTTAAGGAAAACATAAGATTATAATGTTGCTTAAGGTTACAGGACACCCTTTTTGGCGTTTTGCGGAAAATCGCTACAGCGCGCTCAATATCAGTCCGATTTTCATCAAATTTTCACCAAATGTTCTCCAGTGCATGCAAAATATGGTAAAGTTTTAAAATTAACAAACAATAAAATAATGTAAGAATTATTCAGGAAAATCTTAAATCGCGGTACCGTTACGCTTTTGATTTATGCTCCTGCTGGTTTTAAGTTATATTTATGAAAATATCATTTTTATACAGTAAAATAGTTGTTCTAAAAAATTGTGTTCGGAAATTTTTTGTTTATTTCGTCATTCCGCTGATATGGCGATTTCTTTGACGACCGCAATATATTTCTGAATTGTTTGAATGAATTGCTCTTTATTTTTAAAATATCCAAATTTAAAAAAAAGTCGAACACAATTTTGAAACTGACGTCTTTAGCTATGTCCTGTGAAAATTTGAGAAAAATTGGTTAAAACCCGCAGGAGCACAACTCGTTTGAAAATCACTAATTACCGTAAACTTTTTCGGGAGAAAATTGAATTTGAATATTACAGTTTCAATGTTTTTCTTATTGCAGCGAATTGTATTTTATTAAATAACTCTGCGAGTTTTCAACATTTTTCGTTCAAACTTGGTCAGATAGTAGAACTAGTCTAATGCTTTAACACTCAAAGGTGTTCTGTAACCTTAATCACTCCTTACTGCAAGCATTTCAATTTGCATGCATATGCGTAGAAGTTAGTTGAAATTGCGGAAGAATATAGTGTTGCAGTCGACTGCATGTCATAATGCGCCACAATCTCAAAGACCAGGGAAATATTCCAATACTCTACTAACGGAAACATAACTCCATGGCAACTGGACTACTCATATCATTACCATATACCCTAT